CTATAAACTTAGTTTGGCCCGTGTCTTTCAGTGTCTTTCACAAGTTTTTAATTTTTCTTTGAACTACCCGCTTGAAGCTTTTCTACAATTTCAATATCTGTCATCATCCCTCCTACCAGATCTCATCCTCGATTATCTTCAGCTCCCACCATCAAATGACTACAATGAGCATCACGTCCATTTTCTATTTCCAATCTAAGCCTTTCCCTTTTTGAAAGAAAAGAACGTTTAATAATCTCTCTTCGACTCCATAGCATAACATTGAAAAGCCATTAATGAGAACATACGCCATACCGGGAACACAGAACTAAGTCATTAGAGATTAATGAGTTTTTTTGGGGGGGGCCTGTGGAGGTAGATAACCGCCGGTCGACAGGCCCAGACTGTCGGCCCGTGAGACGAATCGGGCGGGAGCTGTTTTTTGCCGACACCGTCACGCGTCGGCGCCGCTGTGCCTCCTTCGGATTAATTGGCAGCCTTTGAATTAAGTTCTGCAGCGTTCAAAACAGGACGGCGAGGACACCGGCTCCGCGCGGACATTCGGCGGGTTTGCTCATTCTGGTCTGGAGACGCATTAAAATTCAGCTGAGAGACGGCGGCTGAGGACGCAGCAGAATGAACCCTGCGTCTGTATCAGATTTCCCTTTGCACCGCCGGTAGCAGCCTCTGCAGTCTGCCACCCAGGAGCCACTGGGAACCCGGCCCGAAAAAAAAAAAAGGTCCCTGGGGACCCCGAGTTCCAAAGGAGGGAACCACATTATCATACAAAAGGTATCAGGCCAATAAATTAGCGCTCCGTCCTGCTGGTAAATACATTTCCCCCATTACACTGCTGATGCCGTGTATGTTTATTCATTTCCATTAAATTGGTTTTAAATGGAGATTAAACACTGGATTAAGGACTGAATAACAATTGCAGCTGCGGTCCTAGAAGCATTACGAAAGATCTCTCCTGAAGTTTGAGGAAGGAAACATGCCGAGGATCATCTTTGAAAATAAAAATCTCGCCATTATTAGCTGGGGCGCAGGCATTAAGGGTTATGCTTTATTAATGAAACTGAGCTTCATGTGAAATTGAATGCGCATTATGGGATACCGTTTATTACATCATGCTGAATAACCATGAACTTCATTAGGAGATAAAGGTTGAGCTTGCATAAAAAATTGTGGTGGGAATTCACCCCTAAAGCTGCTGTAATCTGGATTATGGATGAATAACTTTTTACAACTACTAAAGCAACTTTTAGCTTTAGTAATATGGTTCATAGATGGCAGTTCATTGTTTGATTTTGACTTTGTGCATTCAGCATCTAAAAGTGGTAATGATTTATGATGATTATGCAAAAAAAAAAGATGCAAAAATCCCATTGGCTTTTCTTTTTTCTTTTACAAAAATCTGCCATCCTTGCAGAACTCTTCCGTAATTACTAATACAGATAGTGCTGCTTCCATTTAGCACTTGTATACTCTAAAAGGCCTGAGACACAATTTATTTCTGTGCATCGCGAGCATTGTGCGGCGCACGTGTTGCAAAGCCCTCCCAGACAAACTCGTGATTGGGGTCAAAAGAAGCTCGAGCTGACGGGAAGCGTTGCATACGGTCCTTAGCTTGATGAAGATCTAAATGGCTGTCATGGCCCCCACAGATGTTTGCTGCGTGTGTGTTTTGTCGTGTGCGACTCGCCGGGCCGAGTGGGGAACATTCTGCGAAACCACGCGGCGAGGACATTTTGTTCCTGCATCTGGTCCTTCGTTTGGAAAATAAAGAAACGTCTGCACAATAGCAGCGAGGAAAGCATATGTGCCCTTAAATCTGAAATATGTTGTATTATCGGCGGTGCCAGTATGCTTTCTCTGATTATTTTACACACAGATGGCTTTTGAGGGGGATTTGATTTTCTCTCCTTCTCTCGCGGCCATAAATCCGATCGCCGTTTCCTTCCAGACATGCCGCAGAAATTGAATACTTGCTCATGAAAGAAACGTGTGACTTTACCCCCCCCCCTCTTCTTTTTCGTGCAATTCCTCCGCCCCTTTCATCCGCGCGGCTGCTCGCCGGTGTTTGTGTCGGGGGAAAAGATGGGTTGGAGGGGCACAGCCGATGGATCCGCGGCTTTAACGGGGGGGAGAACAAACAAATGACTGTGGCTCTGACTCCGACTGGCTGATTTCATTTGGTTTCGTCAGGCTCTTCCCTGCAAAAAAACAGGCCCGGTCGGTTTAGAGTGAGGAATGAAATGACTGGGGGGGGGGGGCGGCTGGATTGGACGTGAGGAACCCACGTCTCCGCTCTCGGCGGAACAGAACGTCGCGGGTCCTTCCAGGATCTCGGCTGATCCAACGTGATGTCATCGGAGGAGCAGCTCTTGGATTGCACTAAAGCATATCACAAACCTGGGGGAGGGGGGCAAATGGATGAGATGTATTATTAATGAGCTGAATACGAGACGGCAGCAGTGGAATTGTATTTCGTATCACCGGAGGGTCGGGGAGAGGCGGCATGAGTCATACTAATTGCTGGGCACCACTGGAATCCCCAGCAGTGTAACGTGATGCTGAACATGTGGCGCTGCGCTGTTTGCAGCTGCTTCACAACATTCGCGGTAGCATTGAAAGGAGAATGGACTGAAGTGCGGGGTAATTATTGCTATTTGGCTAAACGTGCACCGGAGTGACGCTCGATGTTCAACCGCTTGTTCTTGTCTAAAAATCAATGACTTGAGATGAATCTCTGTGCAGCAGATGTAACAGACAGCCTAAAGGCTCCTTACTAAATCATCCATTACTTTGCTGCGGGGCTGTTGCTGGCTAATTTCAACAATTCTTCAACAGAACCTCTTTGATGACTTCAAATCAAGCTTTCAGTTGCAAGGCAAAGTCGCCTTCGGGCGTCTCTGGAAATGTTATAACGCTGCGCCTGAAATATCAGCTCTTCTCCCCAATCATCTTTTCACATCAACCTGCAGGAAGTCGCACAGTTTGGAGAAACGTTGGTTCTTAACTTAGAAGGAACAGTTCATCCCTAAATGTGAAATGATTTTTCCTGTATTGCTATTCATGGATTTTATAGTTGCTTCCTTTTAAAGTATTATGGAAAAAGAGACGGCTGGCTTATGGTGCTCCGAGCTTAATTCAAGAGGTCATTTTCTTCGTAGTTATTAGATTATGGTCTCAATCGCTAGTTTTAAGACTTCTTCAACGCAGCATGATAGTCGTCCAGCAAAGCGAAGGATCCGTGTAAAGCAAAATAAACCACACAGCAGGGAATTCCATCGGCTCTGGCTACCTCGTGATTGAAACGTCGCTACCATCGCGTGATGCGATCAGGGAGATGTCCGGGTTTTCAGCTTTGAACTTCTAAGCCTTCGATATCGTATTTTCAGTTCATGAAAGTCAATTGTAACCTTAAGGTTGCCTATGGATGTACTTATTCAGCATCCGGTTGTATTTGGCTCCACTCTCCCGTATCTCTGCCAGACGATACAAAGATGGCTGGCGCCGAACCCCCAAAACGTCAAAACTTAAAAATTCTATAGTCCTCAATGGACGGTATCAATTCAAGGGTAGTTGGAGAAAACTGCAATCTAATGTTAAAAGACTGAGGCTCATTAGGCTTACAAACAGCCCTGGTTGAAGATTTGGGTTATCATTGGCTCATCTAATAAGAGTCCCTCTTTTAGAATGAATGACACTTGAATATGCTTAACACCCGTAAGTTACCATCAAAGGGGAGAAATGGTGCATTATAATCGCATCGTGAATAGCTCCGGGCATCACTGGCACTATGCTCACTAAGTACAATAGGACCATGTTTTCTGCGTGGACTTCATGGAGCTTCCAGAGGTTGGTCAGATATTCACTTTGCACACAGAGGGCTTTGTGTACCCAAGCAGTGGGACGCCATATTGATTGCGCGTGCTGTGATCCCTCAATTCAAGCCCGTCCAGCTGCAGCAGCGTGCCAGCGCCGCTCTACGGGGGTCAACTCCAGCGCATTCCTGACACCCGAGAGAGCACGGCGCGCGCCCTCCAAGAGCACATCTGGCCACAGAAGACAGCTGGTCTGACTGGAAACGTGAGAAGAGGAGGGACACGAGAGGAGACAGACAGAGACGCTAGATCGACTGGCAGATGTTTAGGTTCATTATTTATTATGAGAGGAGATTAAGGAGCGTCGCTTTAAACATTTGACTGTTACTCTGAAAGCTGAGATGAATTAGCAGCTGAGACATTAAATGAAGCGGCTGCGGTACTTTGATCAATTAGTTTTAGAGAAAATCAAACTTTTGGGAAACAATCAGATTAATTTGGTTGTATTTCCGATTGTCACTCAGCCCATCTGACAAAAGAAACACCTCATCCTCAACACGTGACCTTTTGACCTGTTTTTTTGGCCACTCTAAAGAATGGATCGCACCATTGGTTTGTCCACCACTTTGGTTCACTGAAATATTTATATCTTATTGGATGGATTGCCAATTCATTTTATATAGAGCTTAATGGTCCTCGGAAAGATGAATCCCCAACCGACGTTCGTGTTTGTTTCAGTTACAGGGCCTCAAAACAGATGCAGCGCCCGGCTGGTGTTCGTCAATATTCTATCGATCGCTGAGGTCGGACTCCCTTTTCCATGGATCAACAAGACAAGTTATATAACGGTGAAGTTCGCCGGGCTGCTGTTCCCAGCCCGCTCACTCCGTGGGCTCATCCGAGCGCTCCTGCAGATGCATTTAGCTGTTGCCTTTGCTCGCTCCCCCCCCCTCCGTCAGCATTTGGATCAACCGGCTCTCAACCGTCTCCCTTCTCTGTCCGCTCGTATCCTCCTCAGAGGTCCCAGAGGAGCTCACAGGCACTCTGGCTCTCTCTCTCTCTCTCTCTCTCTCTTTTGGTCGGCAGCCTCACGTCTTCTCTGTGGTGTCTCGGTGAGTGCCAAGCGGGGCGTCCCTGGAGTGACCTTGTGGGGGGGTTGGTGGGGGTAATGAGCTCCTGATCACGAGTCAGGAAACCCGGCATTCAACACCCAACCCAACCAGCCTCCCCTCACCCCGTGAAACACACACACACACACACACACACACACAAAAAAAAGAAAAAAGGGAGGAAAAAAAACTACATCGCATGCTCAGCCCACAAAGAGAAATAGTATTGGAGAGACGGGGCAACGGGGCAGAGGTGCAGATGAAAAGAGCCTAGAGAAAATACTTTCTTCGAGCTCCGATATACAACTACCAGACCTCCAAAATGAAGTAAGTGACTTTTCTTCTCTCGTGGAAACACGCTTACCAATGCACGGCTTCCCTTGGAGTCGGACGGCGTCGTGTGCAGAGAGCCTCCCGCGTACCAAGGCCGTTTTTTGGCGTGTGCTTCTCTGCGTGTGTATTTGTGCGTATGTTGGGGGAGGGATTTATGGGATTTTTTTTTTGCAGAACTGCCAACGTGAGATTTAAAATCTCACAAGAGAATTTTGCGAAAAGTTGCCGAAGAAACTTTAGATGAGTTTCTTTATTTCAATCAAAACTATATTTTCCATTTTTCTCTAATATTTTTAGCTTCTCTGTTCACGGTCCTAATCTTTTTTTTTTGTTGCTCTTCCCATTTTAAGCAGATTTTGCCCTGAGGCTGTTGATAAGAGATAATGAACATGTGAAAACATAAAAGACCATTAAGCTTAAAATGCTATGAATCATAACAGCTGATGGAAAAGTGGCTTGTAGACACGTTGGGTAAACAAACAAACCGCAAAGTCACAATAATCCAGCAGCCTCGGGCTCTACGAAACCGCGGCGTTAAATCATTAACAGGCCCATCTCCTCGGTGATTACACGTCAAACCGCCGCATGCTTTGTTTATCAGCGCTATCAGCCAAGCATATGCGAGCCCAATTAAGTGCGTGTGTGCGCATGTTCGCTGCTTGCAGAAGGCCGCTTTCGGCTGCGGTGTCCTAATTTGGGTCAGGCCTGACTGGAATGACAAACCCGGGGGCGTTACGTGGTCCGGCGGACCTTCCGCTCGCGTTGCCATGGCTTTCTTCAGTGCTGGTATGGCAACCCGAGTCCCCACCAAACAGTGTTCCTCTCTGTCTTATGGGCATTCCTGCCGGGAGGGGGTTGGTGGGGGGGGCAAACGCGTTCTCCAGGCTCATTCTTGCTCAAAATGAGGTGTCCGCTTCGTCTCTTTAGAATCCACACGCGGTGTGGTCCTAACGAAAGCGCTGCGGGAGATTGAACGCGGGGCGGGGATGAGCTTGGAGAAACCAGCTTCGGTTCCGTAGGAAGTCACGACACAATGCGGGGTTAAGCTGGCCGACATCCAGCGCTTGGCCAAACTCATGAAACTTCATTTTGAAAATAGGACCCCCGGTATTTTCCTACACCGCGTTGGCCACTAGCAGGCCTTTACGAGACCTTTTACACACTCTGCCCTTTGTCTTTTGTCAAACGCTTTGCCCCCACAAACTCCACCACGTGATTGCGCCTATATGTCACGGCCGAGCACAAAAGCCGGTTCATTTCCTTCTGTGTCTTCACAAATGCTTTGACGGGACTCTTCTCCACGGAGGAGCTGGAGCAATAAGGCATAGAATTGCGCTGTTAGGGCCCTGAGAAGTCCGCTCCAGGGGAGGGGGGGTGTGTGGGAGGGAAGGGAGCTGTGAAAGGAGCCAATTCTCATCTATAGGGCACAAGTAAGTGTGTGAGAAGGGAGGAAAAGAGGGAAGGGGGGAGGATGAGAACATACACAAAGATCCTCACATTGAGTGGCTGCTTCAATTCTTGTGGGGTAGGCGCTGACCCCTCACATGCGGGACGGAACAGAATGAGCCTCGATGGGGTCCCGAGGGCCTCCAAAGAGAGCGGGGACGGGATAAAAAGAGGGGTAGAAGAAAAGGGGAGGGAACGGATGCCAGAGTCGAGAGGCCTGCGAGGGAGCCGCACTTTATTGCATTCGGGGGGTCATATCCAATAAAGTAGTGTGCATGCAACATCGTCCTTCAATGAAGGGGTGAAATAATGGCCAACCTTCAGGTTCTGCTGTGTCTCCTCCCGATCAAAGCGCTAATAGCACGGCGTGGAAATGCAGACGTTCTCATGGAGCAGCCGAGAGACAATCGGAGCAAAAAAAACCTTTTGAGGCCGGTGTGACGACGCATTGTTGCCCCGGCGCGCCGTCGCTCTCGATTGTCTGAGGGATCCCATTGTCTGTGGGTGAATTTAAATTCAGGAGAAGGAGTTTGTGTTTGAATCTCTCCTCTTGCTCTTTGATCAGAATTTAAGGAAAGCTCCTCGTTTCCTTCCTTGGACGCGTGTGGATTTTCTACTTTTCCCGCAGATAAAAAAATAAAAATAAAAACAGGAATTGACGCCCGCACCTCCCCGCCGAGCTGTTGGCTCGATCTGATGTTTGATCCGGCGGAGAGAGCTAATGCTAACCCGAGGCGCCGCGCTGTAATCAGTCAGCTCATTAGCGTCCCACACGGTCACACAGCCACCCGCACGCACGTATACGCTCAGACGCACAAACACGCACAAACTGTCCTCAGGGCTGCTGGCGGGTGACCACAAAAAGAGAGAGAGAGAGAGGGAGAGAGAGAGAGAGAGAGAGAGGGAGGGGGGGGGCTGAGGCCACAGGGTTGGAATAGAAGTTCTCGACCTCCGGCGTTTGGTGGAAAAACGGTGGAGTTTGAAAGGCGCCGGCTCCCTGTGCGTCACGCGCCTCGTCCCATCAAAAATAACTTCACCCTGTGCAACAAAAGCGCCTGCTTTGGTTTGGTTCTGGGGCCTGTGTGCGATTAGCAAGAAGAGCCAACACAATCAGCTCAAAGACGCCGGGAAGGTTCCAAAGAGCTGGAGGCGAACCGCGGTCGTCGGCGCGTGATTGTGTCTGGTTTCACCACTCGAAGCGACTCCTTTGACGTGGCACAAAACGATGTAGCCCGAGAGAACGTGGAGGAGCTTTAAGACATGTAAATAAGGAGACAAAAAGGAGCTCGCATGTTTGCGTATTAGCTTGCGTGCCGTCTTGATTGTCTCACAAGCGGCTTAAACACTTCCTGCAGCGTACACGATGCGGCGGGGGCTTTGGACAGAGATGTTGCTGTTGTAAATCTTAGGCAAGTGTCTTACAGGGAATACGGGTCCTGAGGGTCCCCCCCTGCCCCCCCCCCCGCCCCCATTAGTCTTTGTGTGTGTGCAGGCATCAGAGTGTGAAGCACTGGGGAGGGGATGGTGTTTGTATTCCTCTAATGAACTGAGGGATGATCGTGTCTCTCTCATGAGCCATGTCACAGGGAAAGCCCGACACGAGAAGGAGGGGAATAAACAGAAAAGCAATGTTACATTGGTCATTAGCATCCCATACATTTAATGCGAGATACATACGTTCTGCTCTGTTATCGACCGCGCAGTCATTCTTTGTGCCTCTCTGGATTATTAGAGTTGCAGCAGAAGTGGAAAGAATCGACTGAGAAAGAAACGTCTCCCCAGTCCAGAGCGTCGCTTTGTGTCTCAGAGGTGAAAACTGAAGGGACCATTCAATAAACACAACCACTTTAATGCCGAAGCTCCACCTAAATGCTGTAATCCACTGGCTCAATCAATGCAATTTCATTTGACTTAAAGCCACTTCTTTGGCTGCTGTGTAGCCGCGAGTGAATTCGACCCGGCCAGTCGAGTTATTAGCGATATTATAATCATTTCTACAGGGGGAATTTGATTCATGTGAGAAAGCATTCAGAGACGTGTGGCGTCAGGCCGCTCACACACACACACACACACACACACACACACACACACACACACACACACACACACGGAGGGATGCAGGGATTTGTTGTGATGTGGCCGCTGATGTTAAATGGAAAGTTAAATTGATCGTGAGCATCGCTGCGGAACACCGTCTTACATACTTAGTATCTCCATTCCGATCCCGCCGCTAATTGGATTGCTAATGGTAACGTTGCACAGGCATGACTAACTTCTCTGGTCGGAGGGGCTTGAATACCGTAAAACATTTTACACTCTTTACGAGTAATCAGTGAAAGGTTTTGATAAAGAAATCATCAGCGGCCCGTCATTCAGGAGGAAACCATGGTGGTTCTGCGGATATGCACATGGAGCATAGAGTTAGTTTCACTTCAACAATGTGTGGTATTCATGCAAAGGCACATTCAGGAAAACCAAGGCATCAGCCAAACGTGACCACTATTCGCTTTAAATCGAGAGCAGCAGATATGTGGGCGTCCGTATCAGAGAAGCTAAAGTATGTATCTAAAATAGCACTGAAGACAAACCAAAGATGATCCACTGATCATGGCTCCAAATGAGAGTATATAATGTATACTTTGTATATAGTCTTCTACATGCCTCTCTCCAATGGATTAAAATTAAGTTACATGTTCTGGCAACTGCTTCCCTTTCCCCCTTGCCGACCTTATTATTGAGTCAAACTGTGGCTGCTTAAAGCTCCACATCTCCAATACTTAATGCTAAAATAATTTCAAACAGTTCCTACACCAACCCAATTGCTAAAGGGGGCATCTAATCCTTGGTTTAATCGCAGCAGGTTTTAATCTGGCCCAGCGGAGAGCTTCTGCAGCTCCGGGACGTCTTCCTGTTCCTCCCTCAAGGCGCCACATTCCAGAGGAAGTATTGGAAAGTTAAAAATCTAAAACAGATAGGCAGAGGATTAGATCGGGGAGGGTTTTATGCCCACCCCCCAAAAACTGATTAGAAACCAGGATCAGTGATGTTTGGGGGGGGGGGGTGAACAAAGCCCCAAGGGAGGAAACGTTTGTTACTTGTCCTAAATAACCATAAGATGTGCGTCCCCGTAGCCCTGACTGAATTATGCATTTCCCGTTCACATGGAGGGGAAAAGGGAAAAGGAGGTGGTGGGAGAGGAGGCTCGAGGATGAAGGGAGGGAGGCGAGGGAGAATCATCAGTCATATCCATTAGTATTCCATCCACAGCTTGTGCTGTGAGACAGCCGGTCCGTCCAAACAAACAACCAGCAGAGGGGTGCGGGGGGGGGGGGGGGGGGGGGGCCCATTTTTTTTTTCTCTCTTTTTTTTTCTAAAATAAATTTTTTTCCATCTGACACGAAAAACCGGGGCGGGGGGTTTGAACTCGGCCTCCCGCTCCCCTGGGGGTTAAAAATGTTCTGAAGGACTGGGGAGTCACATCTCACAGTGCGGTTGCTTCAAAAATGGGACAACCACGTGAATTCCCCATGGTTGGGCCTCTGAGCGTT